CCGCCCGCCGTCATCCCCGCGGGGCGGAGGCTTTTATGCGCGAGTGAGAGCGAAGGTCTGTGACCTGGAAGGTTTGGAGCGACCGAGGGTGACAGCGCGTGACGTGTGACGGTGTGAGTGCGTGTGGCCGAGCAAGTGTGCACGTGTGCATGTGAGTGTGCACACGTGTGAGTGCACGTGGGTCTGAGTGCAGGTCTGTGACACGTGGTGGCTGTGAGTGTGAGTGCAGGTGTGTGGGTGAGGGTGTGAGGCTGAGTGAGATGAATGTGCGGCTGAGTGGAAGCGAGTGTGAGTGGGGGTGTGAGTGTATGAGTGAGGGTATGCGTGCGTGTGGGGTGTGAGTTTGTGTGTGTGTGCATGTGTGTGTGTGTGAGTGGGTGGGGTGTGTGTGTGTATGCATGTGTGGGTGTGTGAGTGTGTGTGGGGTGTGTGAGTGGGGATGTGAGTGTGTGTGAGTGTGTGGGGTGTGAGTGTGTGTGAGTGAGTGCACAGGTGTGTGTGATGTCGCTGGATGGAAGGGGCTTTATGCATCTTTAGCAGCCACCCCCTCCCTGAGCCGCCTCCTCCCTGCGGGCGGTGCTGTTAGCCATGTAGCAGATGAAGAAATCGGACTCAGACGTGGCCAGCGCTTGTGGCCGGGCCTGCATTTGTGGGGCTCCAAAGTCCAGGCGTGCTGTCCCTTTGGGGTTGTCCCAGAGCTACCCTCCCTCCCCCAGGCCCACCTCCTCTCGGGTTTCCCAAAAGCCCTGCACAGAGGGCAGCCCCCAGGCACCCTGCTGGCTTGGGGTTGGGGTGCCCTCCATCTCCACCCGGAGCTCTTGGACTTGGAGGCACCTGCCTCCTCCCTCAGGCGGGGAGGCTCCTCCAGGACCGGCCAGCACTCGGGGGTGTTCAGACCAAGAGGCAGCATCCCCTGCCTCAGTTTAACTCCTGACGATGTTCCCAGAAGTTGCCTTCCCGTCCTGTCCCCCACCCCGCGAGGTTCTCACCTTCTCCCAGCGTTGGCTGGTTGGTTGGTTGGTTGGTTGGTTGGGTTTGTCGCTGTGTCCCCAGCACGTGGCTGTTGCACACGTGGTTTGAACTGCCAGGGCCCCCTGGCAGCCCCCATGTGAGTGAGGGGCAGAGTCCTGTCTTGGGATCAGGAGACCTGATCCACCAGGAGTTGGTGGGAATTGCCCCTTCCTCGCAGGCCCTGCTGGGGACCCCCCCCCCAGAATACCCACAGCAGACCTAGCTGGGCCGCCCGGTGAGGGGCCGCCCGCAGTCTGAGGGAGGCCAGCCCGGGCTGGGGCGCCAGGCAGCTTATCTGGGATGTGCAGGCTCCAGGCTCCGAGGGAGGCCTCCTCCCCTCTGGGGGGCCCAGCCGAGGGGTTGGCACTTGAGTCTACCAGCCACCTGCGGGGAGCTTGGGGACTGGCTCCCCTGCCCTCAGCCTCTGTAATGGGCTCAGTGGGCCCAGCCCACGTGTCCCTGGCAGCCCCCTGCCTCAGCTGTGACCCTGAGAAACCGGGTGGTCCCCCTGCAGAAGGCAGGCAGCTCTGCCGTCCACCTGCCCCTCCTCCTGGGTTCCCTCTCCTGCACTTGCTGGCTAGGAGCCCCCGCCCCCTGCAGAACTTCCTTCGCTCCCTCCCACTTCCTGCAAGGGGACCAGGAGGGAGGTGGCCGCTCAATCCCAGGGGCACAGCTGGCAGTCGGGCAGCAGGCAGGTAAGCCTCAGCGCAGGGGGCTGGTCCGTGGGGAGGGCCGGGCACATCCCTCCGCCCACCCAGACCTGACCTGGGCAGAGTGGATGCCAGGGTCCCGGTGAGGGATGCCAGGGGGTGAGCAGTTGGGCATGGTGCCCTGTGGCGGGGAGCAAGGCAATCCCGCCCCTCAGCTACAGTGGGTGAGCTGGGGGTCCCTGGAGACATACTGGGACTCTGGCACCCCGTTTTCTTCACCCCCCCCATGTTATCAGAGGTGAGGAAAGGCAGGTGGGGGGTTCCCTCATGGGACAGCACAGACCATGGAGCAACAGGTCAAGGCCCTGGCGGCAGCTGTTTCTAGAACCCGGGGTGGCTGGGGCGCGGAGGTGTGTGTGTGTGTGTGTGTGTGTGTGTGTGTGTGAGAGTGTGCCTGTGTTTATGGGTACAAGCTGCACAGCCTGGCCCTAGGAGCTGGGGCGAGGCCTTGGCTCGCCATCTGCCTCCTGTTTACTCTGCCTGCTGCGTGCAGGGGTGGGAGGGGGCTCAGAGCCTGCTTCACCCCCGAGTGTGGGAACCGCGTCCCACGTTCTGCAGACACAGCCCTCGCCCTCCACTGCGCCTTTTCTCTGCCGTGTCTGTCTTCCCCGCCGACCTGAGCTCCTCAGGGCGGGGTCCCCTGGCCTGTGACCCCCAAGTCCTGCATAGGCCCTGCAGGTGTGCCCATTGGGGTTTGTGGCCTGAAGGACTGACCGGCAGTGCGGGCCTGCCCACAGCGGCCTCCCCAGATAGGAATTCAGATTCCTCGTCTGAAATGGGGGTTGTACAGCCCCGCTTCCCAACTCTGCGGAGTCCCCTTTGTTGCAAGTGGGGACTGGAAGCCCCCCCCCGCCGCGCGCCCCCCCGCAGCACTTATCAGCCGCCCAGTGCACCTTCTTCCCGCAGCGGCTCCAATGCAGCCTGACAGGTGAGGGCACAGCAGGAAGCCGGGGTCCCAGACCCATCGCTGGTGCACAGGGAGGGCTGTGGGCTGCACGATACACAGGATGGGCCGTGCACGCCCCACCCTCACCGGGGAGGGATCTGGCTTCTTGCCCTTGTTCCTGAAACTTCCAGACACAAAGAGTCAGAGAGAGACGGGGGTGGGACTTGTTTCTTCACAAGTTTACCCACAAATATTGATCAAGTGTCCCTGGTCGGAGCGCTGGGGATGCACAGGTGAGCCACACCCCCTGCCCTCCTGGGGCTGGGCTCCGGGCTCCGCTGTTTGGTGTTGACTGTGACCAGGGTGGGGAGCTGGCCGGCTGTTTGCCCCCAGGGCTGGCGTCCAGGATCTCGAAGGGCTGTGCCAGGGCCGAGGCTGTGTTCTGGACTTGCCTTCAGGGCTGTTGACATATGAGCCTCTCTCATAGCCCCACACTAACCACAGGCGAGCGTCTGTGGGCTTGGGGCTGGAGAGAGTCAGGGTGAGGGACAGAAAAACGGGAACCAAAGCCCAGACTCCTCCCTGGGCCTCCCTGAGCCTCAGTTTCCCCATTTGTCCAATGACAACACAGTTGGCTATCTCCCACTGGCGAGGGTGAGTCACCGAGGAAATGCAAGGAGGGTGCTTCTCAGGCTGAAGCCAGCTGCACCAGGGTCTTGTGTTGTTGAACTTGGCTGTGCGCTTAAACAGCTGTGCAGGGGGTTAGCTCTGGGAGAGCCAACAGAGCTGCAGTGGGCTCTCAGGCCATTTCGGTTCATTTCCAGGCTCCCAACAATGACGACTTCCTGCGAATGGAACTCCATCAACTTTCCCCTAAACAGCGTTCCCCAAGGATGTGGCTTTTCTGATTGACAAGGGAGGGGCTTACGGCAGGGGAATCATCTGAATAGTCCTCACCCCCAGGGAGTTCAGGGAGGCCAGGGCTGTGGAAGTCTGCTGAAGGCCTGATTAGCTAGGGAGTGCCGGTCAGGGAAGATTGGACATTTGAGCTGGGCTCTGAAGGGTGGATAGGAGTTTGCTGGTTGGCTGAGGGAAGAGGAGGGGAGTTCTGGGCAGAAGGGAGAATATGCAAAGGCCTAACCCGGTGGCCGGCAAACTCATTAGTCAACAGAGCCAAATACCAACAGCACAACGATTGACATTTCTTTTGAGCCACATTTTTTAA